ACAGGGTCTAGGCCCACTCAAGAACTGACCAAATGAAGGTGGTCGCGAGGCAGGCCCACCAGGGTGCGGGCGCACCCTGGGTGCGGCCGCACCCCCACCGCCTCTGCTCGGCCCCACTCTTCTATGGCGGTTGCATGCCGCCATGCAGAGGCGGTCCACGGCGGTTTCCTAATTTACCTGCACCAAAACCGACCGTGTATCACTATATAAAGAGGTCTAGTGCTCACCTCACACACACATCATTTGGAGCCTCTACCTCACTACCACCTCTTAGTCTCTTTTAGCTTTAGTATTAGTTTGTGAGCAAAGGCAAAAGCTATCAAGGAGAGCTTGTCTCCTTGGAAGAAGAGAACCTTCTTGGTATGAATACTATAAAGAGTTGTTCCAAGTCCTTGCTCTCATTTACTTATATAGCAAGGCATATGAACTAGACTATAGTTTTTGTGTTATAATCATGATATATGAACTTCTATATAGGTTGTGTGTTATGATCTTGACATGTAGAATTTTATGCTTAATTATTTATATAACTTATATGAGTGGAACTAGAGCTAAGTTGAGGTGGTGGTTCATCGTGCCTTCGGGTGTGCCCAAGTTCTTTACCTGTCAATCCGTAAGGTCAGGGACCCAGTAGAATTTGGGTAGTTTCTGTGTAATTGGACGTGGTGCCCGGGTACATGGGAGCAGGTGAATGCATTTTCTACTCCACGGTTGAGGGGTAGGCGATAGGTGGTGATAGACCTGTCAGTCCCTTGTAATCCCCCACGTTCGGGTAGGGTATAGGAATCTAAATTGTCATGTGAGGTTGCTGACAGACCAGTACTTGGTGGCCTCCCGACCTATCTCACACTTAGTTCTAGCTCTAATCATATTCATTGTATAATTATCAATTGTTCTTTGCACGGCTATATTAGAACATGCATGTTCTACTTAGGAATATTCTTTTATTCTTTGTTTTTCTTTTATCCTTGAGGTTAGCCTAGATGTGTGTCCACTATCCATGAAATACTTTTTTTACCCCTGTTATGAACTATGGTCCACTATACAAGTATGTAATCATGTTTATGTCTATGCTAGAATATGAATACCTTGCCCTCCTTTGGGAAAATATAAATAACGATACCCTGAATACTTTCGGGTGAAATGCTACAACGATAGCTCCATACGCTTGCCGATATTATACGTAATCTTTAAAGACTATCGTAGTTGGTGTTTCTTGGCGGCGTTGTTAAGATTAACTCAATCTTAGTAATGGTGTTAAGAAATACTAATGAACATTCTAAGCGCCGATTCTTGGTGATGGACTTAAAACCTCCTCACTTGGTGATTGCGCTAAGAAATGCCAACATCTACTTAGCCCAATCGGTAAACTAGCGGGCTAAGCGCTCTGTGAATGCACACACAAAAGTGAAGATAACCTCAACTAAGTAAGATATATATTCAAAGTAAGCATAGCCATGTAGATAAGAATATGATGAATTGATAACAAGTATTACAAGATGTAGAAATGAAGATACAAGATTTTTGTCGAGCCTCCAAGACTAGATCCGGAACTTGAGCATGAGCCTAACTTTCGACCCTCACTCCAGGCTACTAATCTACTACATTGGAAAGTCTAGACCTAATCCTCTGGTGTGTGTTGATCTGAATGAGAGAGATGAATTAGGGTTTCTAAGATGGTCTCGGGGAGAGAAGTGCAGGGGCCATATATAGGGGGGTAGCGTCAATTGAACCATCGAATCAAACCAACAAATAAGCAGCGTGAGATCACGATCTTTAAGGCGGTGGAGAGCCGATCATCCGAAGGAGACAATGAACCATGGCCCCACTTGGCAGCCCTTCATTTGTCTTCTTGGTGTGGTGTCCTCTGGAACCTTCCGGAATTGTTTACGCTTGTGTTAAGCGCAATTTACTTTGACCAATAGGTCCACTTTGATGGATTTGATTAAATCCTACAAAAAACATGATTCACCAAAACCGTGAAATTTATTAGTTTAAACCCCTATCCCTATGTTTGGTGATGGAATTAAGTATATATCACGAGTTATGTTGACGGTTCATGATTGATATTAACGATAGTCAACAGCCCGATACCGGCTCGCCGCGCCCCATTTCCAGCGCCCGTGCCATGCCACCATCACTCCCTCGCGCCCCTAACTCTCGGAACAACATGAAACACGTGCAACATGAAACATTTGAATACAACATACGTCCAAAAGCAGATGAAACATAAGGATGGGTGATTTTTTAATAAACTCACGACAGACGGAAGCGGCGGCGGGGTAAAAGCGCCAAGCAACAGGGCGGTGGGCCTATGAGATCGTCCGCGATCTGCTCGCAAGTGTCGGGACGTAAGACGCATAGCATTATCGCTTTTTATACCCAAGTACATTCTCCCGTGCTCCCGATTCTCCCTCTCTTGAGTAGTTCCATGCGTGGGGAGTGTGTTGACAGGTGTGTGCAATAGTTTGAACGTAGTAGAGCTGCAGCCTTTTATTTCCATCAAATTACTCTGAACTAACCTCTTGTGGAAAACACACCCGAGGATGTCTTAGAATATGAGACTGATGACTATTGAATTCTTTTTTTTTCTTTCATGTGCTTCCTTTTTAGTGTTAGGGACAACACAGACACACTTTGAACAGGTAAATTAGTGACAACTTAAAGTTAGTGACAATAAAATGGGTGATGCTCAGTAGCCTCCATTCAGTGTCAGCAATAAACAACAGAACTTGTCAATATAGCTCAACCTACATTTCGGCTACCTATTTTGTTGAGTGTGCACTACATAATAGCTAATATTGACACAATATAATGTGATGATTTTTTTTGAAACGAGGAGGATTTCCCCATTCCCATTGTAACCAACGGGAATACTCACTGGGCACCGGGTTTGAGCCCGGGTGGTCGAGCTCACAACTGGAGCGTCCGACCAAACGAGCGACTCTCTCGTTCCCCAATATAATGTGATCATGTAGGCTGAATCCAAATAAATCTGATTATTATTGCTTACAAGATTTCTCTTTTGTCATGTAGATATATCCTATAGCTGGGTGTTCCTGAGATTCTGAGGCCTCTTGTTGGAGAAATGTACCAAGAAGTGCGAGTAGCCTTCATGGATGGTGGAAAGGGTGTTTCTCGGAATCAGAATGCAGGGTTCGCTGCACTTGCAAGTCCTGTAAGGAGGGAAATTGGGAACAGGCATGTATGCAACCCTTGGTGTGGTTTGTTCCTTTTTTATCTAGAATATTGTTGTTGACCTCACCATAAACACTGATCTTCTCTATCTGAAAGAAAATGTCAAGTGCATGTGCTTCAGTTCATGTTTAGTATACACTAGATACTTTGTTTATTGAGTTTTGCAAGCTCTCTCTTGGTTCTTTATTCATTAATTCTGAAGTTTTGTTTACATATACGTCCATACATATATATTGTTTGTAATAATATAATAATGCAATAAATTATTCAATCATGTTTTGATTTTAGTTAATTTTGTTTGTTATTAAGTAAAGTTGACTCCAGTACCGATACATGTGACAAGATATCTGTATCATCTAGGAACTTGTAGATGGAAAAATTGATAATTTATAGTAAGGCTAATATAATAGCATGTCATCTATTATAATAACCATAAAACATGTGTGCGCCACATGTACATTACCACTAGTCTTATAAATAAAAGCATTTTTTCTGATGGGCGCCAAAGATAATACACGTCACTTACGTTTAGGAAAATAGAAAGTGTCTTGTCTTATCTTATCGACAAAATCATTTTTATACGGCATGCGAGAGATGACACATGCCCCTTAGGATTACCAAACTATGTACATCATCTGCTTGTGTCGACTTTTGATAAGAGAGAAAAGCATGCGAGGCTAGACACTTCACACTCTATGACAAAAAAAAAAAGTTGGATGAAGCAAAGTTTATCCCACATAAAACTTCATATCACAAGGATCTAAAACATGACAATCCATACAACATATATAAAAGAAGATATTTTATAACATAAACTTCTCACAGACTTATGGACAACGAGACACTTGTGATGATATGCTCGAAGACCAAAATATGCGTACAAGCATTCATAAAAGAAGTGTGTATGCATGTATTACAGATGTCTAAGGGCATGTTTGTTCCTCGCCAACTCCTGCCACACCACACTCGTGGCTGCCACGGTACATTGGCTGGTGTTTGGATTGCACGTAAGCTAAGGCAGTTACAGAGCCTTTTCAGTTCATTTATGCGATAATTTTCGCCACGGTTGTGGCAGACACTTTCATCACCATAATTTCGGTGGTGGCGCCACACCTCGTGTGGGGTGTGATGGCTGGGCGCCAAACATGCCCTAAGTCTATCCGTCTGTGCTCTTATGTAAAAAAAACAAATGGACCAAAGCATTTTCATGCGACGTGGAAGAGATGACACATATCACTTACCTAGGCGAAAAGGAAACCAATTACGTATAAAAGTCAAATCTCGTGTTATAAAAAAATAAAAACCCATGGAGATGACGACTCAAAACAGCAGCGTAGCAACTTGACCCTCAAGTGCCATAACAGCACTCTTAACTCCAACCGTTATCTCACCAACATTTATGCAACGAACCATCGAAACCCACCATAAATCCGCCCCCTAAGATAGCTAAGCTACCTCAAGCGTGGTCCAGCAGCAAAGGCATCCAACCAAAAAAACAAACATTTCGTCACAAAATTAAAAAAAAAAGGAAAAAGTGAAACGAACACGAACAACACCTACCCCGTGTAAATTCCGGACAGGTGCACACCGCGAGACAGAGGCAGCGGAAAAATAGAGAAACCAGGGAAGGGGAAGGAGGGGGCAGTGACCTGCCACACCACAGTGGTGGGAAGGAAAGGAAACGAGAGGGAGAGGGAAAAAAAAAACCAGGCACCCCCCCGATCTCCTCCTCCCACTCCGATCGCCCGACCGATCGCCGCCTCGTGAAGCTTCCCTGTACCCTCCCCGCCGCCCGCGACGCCATGGAGCCGCCGCACGCCGCCAAGGAGGCCGCCGCCGCCACTGCAGCAGGAGCAGGAGGAGGAGGAGAGGGCGGCGGCGCAAGCCCAGGCACCGACCTCGAAGGTACTGCCTGCCTGCCTAACGGTTCTCTTGGTGTCGTTCAGATCTCCGGCCGGGCGTACGGCCGCGCGGATCTCTGGTGGGTTGGGTTCCCGGGTGTATGTAACCGTGTGGCGCGTGGCTGTTTGTTGCAGGGCCGATGCTGAGGCTGGGGCTGGACGGCGGCGGGGAGGAGGGGAGGACGGGGGAGCTGGGGGCGGGGAGGAGGCGGACTCGCGGCTGCCGGAGCGGCCTGGCGAGAGCGGACTGCGGCTACTACCTCCCGCACGGGCGCCTGCGGCTTCAGGGAGCGCTGCCGCTACAACCACCCCGCGATCGCGGCGGCACTGAGTGAGCGCGCGAGGACGCTTTTCTCCGCAGCCTCTGTTTCCCGCGCTGCTCTCTCGCGCTCTCTCACTGTTTCCCGATCTCATCCGTGTCCGCGTCCGAGTCGGGCCCTGCTGCCGGCGAATTATTCCGTTTCAGGTAGATTCGCTGTGTGATTGAGGTAGTTACGGTTTCATCGGACCGCAGAAACTAGTGATTTGGGTAATGTGGTTCGTTCAGAGCGGGTTATTATGCACACTGCCCTTGTGGTGGTGTCTTGTTGTTATTACATATTGGATGGCAGCGTCAAAATTTTGAGCTGCCTCGCTTGGAGCTGCACTTTTGAGCTCCTTCCTTTTATGGTTGAGACACAATGGTTCCTCTTTCTTGTTTGCTTCAAATTTACTACTAGTTTGTCTTTATTGGCTTCCAAATAAATGCATATATAGGAAGCCAATTGCGCAGCCCCTGTTTTTCCATTTTAGATGTTGTCATGGTGATCCTGACTCCTGAGTGCTTGACAAGCGATGACGCAACATAAAAACTTACCTTTTCTTCCCCCATTTTGTAGTTTTTTGTTCCTGTGTTAATTAAATGCTGCTATACTTTGGTAGCTTCAAGTTATTTTTTTAATCCTGACTGTTTTTTTTCTGGATTAGATGCTTTATGACCTGCTATACTTGACTTTAAGTAATGCTATTTTACTCAATATTTACAGTTACAACCTAGTCTGCTTCTAATCCCATTTTGCTGATCCTAAAGGATTTTGGATATCTGAGGCTGCTGCAACTAAATCTCTAGTTGCCAATTGCTAATGTTTTCTAATAGAATCCTAGCGAATGACTTTACAAAATTCTCCTGAAACGCCAAGCTGATAAATAGTTTCTTTTTAAAACTTACTTAAAAAATTTTAGTTTGGTGGAGGTGCCAAGAATGGAGCAGCACAAGACTTTCCAGAACGACAGGGTCAACCTGTATCACGAGGTACATTAGCACCTTCACACTCAAGTTTAACTATCTTTCATAGAAATCTGGGTATCAATCAGACATTCAAGCATGTACCTGGCAACTCCGGCACACTATTTGCATGCTCCCAGTGTAGCATGTACTGCTGCTTGTCTATGGGTATGCAGGGTGCACAATATAAAAGAAGCGTAAATATTCATGCCTGATTTGTTAACTGGTGGTGCTTTAACAACCTCTTCTTTTGTTTTTTCTACAGTATTATTTGAAGACTGGAACTTGTAAATTTGGTTCCAATTGCAAAATATCACCATCCTAAGCAAGATGGATCTGTGCAGTCTGTTATATTAAACAACAATGGATTCCTCTCGCCCGGTATGAAAATTCTCCTATGATGGTGCTTCTTGGAAACATTTTTTAACTATTTTGGGGGAAAAAAATAATTGACATTAATGAAGTGCAGGGTGAGAAAGAATGCTCCTACTATATGAAGACTGGACAATGCAAGTTTGGTTCTACATGTAAATTTCATCATCCAGAATTTGGTGGTATTCCGGTGACCCCTGGAATATATCCACCATTACAATCAGCGTCTGTGCCCTCCCCCCATGCATATGCTCCAAATTGGCAAATGGGAAGATCACCTGCAGTTCCTGGATCATATATACCAGGCTCATACACTCCAATGATGCTCTCATCTGGAATGGTTCCATTGCAAGGATGGAGCCCTTATCCGGTAAATAATTTGGACAAAATGCTTTATTTTTTACACAAGAAAGGTTCCTAGCAACAAGCTTCTACCAAGATATAAAGCAAATGAGCAAGCCCTTTTATGAGCTAGTCTAAGATTCTCATTTGACCATTGTCTAGGCAAGATCTGAAAGACATTCAAGTATGTCTTACCTGAAATTTCTTGGCATTGCCAAGAAAATAAATAATGTCGGGAAATAAAGTTGGCTTGTTTGATAAATAATAGAGAGCAAACTAAGGAAAATATCTTGTTACCTAAAAGAGCAAGGGACTATTCTGCCCCAATTTTTAACTCTTTCGTTTGATGCAGGCATCGGTAAATCCTGTAGCATCAGGTGGAGCACAACAAACTGTCCAAGCTGGACCGTTATATGGTATAGGACACCATGGATCTTCCACCGCAATTGCTTATGGCGGTGCATACTTGCCATATTCTTCCTCAACTGGACAATCGAGCAATAATCATCAAGAGCATGGATTTCCTGAGCGGCCAGGGCAGCCTGAGTGTCAATATTTTATGAGGACTGGAGATTGCAAATTTGGAACTATGTGTAAATATAACCATCCTCGAGATTGGAGCACTCCTAAGTCCAACTACATGTTCAGTCATCTCTGCCTTCCACTTCGTCCGGTGAGCATCCAGAGCTTGGTATATATGTATTGGCCAGGACTAATTCAGTAATGCTTCTTGTGAAGTCACTATATCTCCAGTAATGGGTTAATTCATAGTTCTAACAAATCTGGACAAATCAAGCCTATCAATCCACTCCTCACCACTATAGGAACTAACGCATACACTATTCATAAATAAATCTTGAAGATAATCTGTCCAATAGTCTACAGGAACCATTGTATCCATGATATTCTATCAAACCGGTGACTATCGAGTTTAGTATCTTTATTTAGTTCCTTTTCTATCAGCAATCTTTGCATGTTAAGGGTTGCAAACCATAGGTCTCTATCAGCCTAAGTTAGAAAATAAAGCTTCATAGTAGATGGAAATGAGACATGATTTTACATGAAAAAATCTTACTGAAAAACAGTGAACGATAATCACAATATGAGGGAAATTAGAAGCAGGGCTGTTACAATGTGGCTTCTCTCATGCTATTTGGCCATATATAAAAAAAGGAGTGGAATTAAAATGGCCGAGTAGGATCCCTCTAGAGTACATACAAATCCATGTCAACTAAAATTGGAATTGTTCTATAACAGCCTGGGTAGTGACAAATGTGATGACCTTGTGAACTTGCAAAACTTCACCTATTCAAGATGATGAGGTAGAATGAAAACCATTTGTAGCCTATACAGGGAACTTAGAGATGTATTTAGAAGCTGACTTTGTGAATGATTGTGTTCTTAAACTCTGGTATTTATAAGTTTTATACCATGCACACAACAGTGTTAATGTGTAATCATGCAACTTATCAGGATTCACTCACATTTTCTTGCAAAATTATTTGCTTGATTAAGGTACAAAATGGTTTTTGCTTGTCTCTTAAAAATTCCCTTTTTGTGAGCCATATAGAGCAAATGGAAGCTACAATTCTACTGTTTCCACTGATGATTAGTTCTTGTCAGCTAGATATTGTTTTTTTAACTAATGGAGGTGATAGTTAATGTAATTTTCTTTGTCCTCTCCTATGATAATAAAATGCTATTCAATGACTCACTGTGGCATGTAGTCATAAACTATGTAAGGTGTAAATTTAACGAAGCTTGATCGGAAGAATAATTAACCAATTTCTACTTTGTCAGTTGCTTATAATCATGATACTTCTTGTTATGGAGAACCAATAAATAAATATTTAAATTTTGATACAGACTACTTGTTTTGCCACCAAGTGTATCCATGTTGCATTAACTCATGGTTACTATTTCCCTGTCTAACTAAGGAACTCAGTTCAATAAAGCAAAGGGGTTCGTGGGGCTAAGTTGTCCTATTGAAATATAGATATATGGCTGACCTTCATTGTACCTGCCAAATGTCCCATATATTGTGAAAATGTCTATTTGTCACAATTAAATTTGTTTCCTTTAGTTTGGTCTTGCATGCTCTTGATGTTTAGTTGCATACTGCAATTCCTTATTGACTGATTATTGGGATGGAATCCTGTATAAGTTTGTAATGATCTAGAGATTTGTACCTACAAACATCCTTTTTCCCCCTGCATGATTGCCTACTGTACCTGGAAGGTACAGTTGAGTACAAGCATGTAGGATGTTATGTTTCTTTTTTACTTGCAAATTGTGCTGGACTAATCATGTAGATTTTATCATATTCATCTTTTTTTTAAAATAATATTGCAGTTTCTTACCCAATCTTACTATGTTATCTACAATGTACAGGGTGCTCAGCCTTGTGCGTACTATGCACAAAATGGATATTGCAGATATGGAGTTGCATGCAAATATGATCACCCAATGGGTACACTAGGCTACAGTTCATCTGCTTTACCCCTATCTGACATGCCAATTGCTCCCTACCCTATCGGCTTCTCTGTTGCCACTTTGGCTCCATCTTCATCTTCCCCAGAATATATTTCAACCAAAGATCCATCAATCAACCAAGTAGCATCACCAGTGGCAGCACCCGAACATGTTGGAGCAATCTTGCCAAAAGGGGTATTCCCTTCGGATACCATTATGCGAACTCAGACTTCTACAAGTGTCGGCAGTTCAAGCCCTGGTGGTGGTCGCTGATTTTTCTGAGCTGGTGGGAGTGATCCTCTCAGCACAATTTTTCTATCACTTGACACAGGTACTTTAGCCTTCGATTGTATTTTTCATCATCGCGTAAAACATACTGCTGCCAACAATGATTATTATCTTGCTCTATTGATATCAGTTCTGATAGGCCTCTCAATGTGAATAAGAAGCTGTGGCCTCTGTAGAAGAAACCGCGGTGAGGGTGGTTTCTCTACCATCAGAATAAGAGAGCATTGATAGGTTACAAGCAAGCTCGATTCACTTGCAATTTTGCGTTCTTCCGTTCATGTCCAAAACAGGAAAAGGAAGGTTTTTGAAGGTCAGGTTCCATAGCATATTGGGCACGGTGGTGAGGCTCAGGTCCATTCCTCGGTAAATAATTCTCAGGCAAGAAAATTTTCGTTGTTATCAAGAAAATTTTCACATGCAGAGATTACTGAGTTCCTCCACCTTTCCAAATTTCTTTTTCTTTTGTTTTCTGTATATTGTCATATATATATCATCAACAGACTTGAGACATGTAACTACGTATATATAAACGTTCATACCGGGAGCAAGATGCATTATAATGGACAAAAAAGAATGCTTAATTGAAGAGATCTTGCTGTCAATACTGAAATGGTTGCATTGGTGAGATCAACGTTGTTCTCTTTATATTACCTCCGTTTCGTAAAGAGTGACGTTTTGGTTTTGTCCTAAAGCAAAGTATCTTTTGATCAAATTTACAGAGAAGATTATCAATATTTATGACACTAAATAGGTTTAGTGTGAAATATATTTCATGATAAATATAATGATATTTATTTGGTATCATAAATATTTTTATTTTCTATAAACTTAGTTAAATTTAAAATTATTTGACTTAAGACAAAACCAAAATTATACTCTTTGTGGGATGAAGGTAGTATGAGACATTAGTGTCGAGATGTACAGAAAAAAACATATATGTTTCTTTGGATTTTGTGGACTTTTCCAAAAAGTTAGAATATATGAATTAAAATTATAAAAATGGCATATCTTTTGTACATGTTAGAATATGTGAACATGTAAATAATCATGGAAAGTAAAGTTGGTTATCGTTCAAGAAAGAAGAGAAGTTTGTACATGTGACTTTCTGCTATATAATGATTATGTTTCCCTGGAGCGCATTCATATCTGCACAAATGAACTCCAAGCCTCCAACATACGCTGTAACTTGGAAACTGTAAAGATGCACAAACATGGAATAGGCGTGCACGATATAGGAACTTAAAAACCGGCCATATATAAGTATGTTTATGCAATTATGTATTACACTTATTAAGCTAAAGATATTACTTCCCTGAAAATTATAGGTCACTTTTTCTTTGTGTCAAGTCAAATTTCTTTTTAACTTCACTGAATTTATAAAAGAATGAACTTAGATTTTCTAAGTCAAATTAGTTTCACATGGAGATACTGTAATAAAAGTTTAAAAAATTGGAACCGAAGGAACTTTCTAAGAGCATCTAAAAATTCTTTCTAAAATCCAGGTCTCTAAATCATTATTTGGAGAGCATTTGAGTAAAATCGTTTTATATGTCTTTGTAATCTCCAACAACTTTTCTATATTTTGTCCGCACTCTGAGAGACCTATCCTCACTTTCCATCTTTGGTTGTGCGAAATCCAAAATACATGATGTCTATATTTGAAGATACATTCAAAGAGGTTGTTAAAGGTTATTTTCACCAAAATCTATAATTCTATAAATTATAAATGATATAAATAGTCTATTGGGTTGCTCTAAGCATCGTGTTATGATTAACCTGGTTCTCTTAAATTTCTTCTTTTTTTTGATGAAAGCGTTCTAGTTAAAATTCCACAAGAGCAATTTAGCCCTAGCTGCTGATATTCCATAATCAATATCAATATATTCCTCAACCGACCCGATACTAGTGTTATTTATACCAAACATCTGATTAAAGAAAAAAAAAAACTTATACATAGATTTAGTACTCACCCATTTCAAATTGTAAGAGCATCTCAAAGGTGCCTATATCCCTTCTCTATCCATACTTTTTGGGAAAAAAAAGAAAAGTCATCTCAAGAGTACTCCATATTCCTTCCACGTCTTTAGGCACTTGACAATTGGCCAGCCTACTGTACATAAAAATCGTGCATCCTAATTAAGCGCATCTCCTCTTCGGCGTCTCCTTCTCATGACGTCAATTTAAGCTCGGAAGCGACCATAGCCTACGTGTGGTGGCCGTAACCCGTTCTTTGCCTTCGGGCTGACCGTGGTCAACTGGCTACTCTTTGCTCGGACCTCGCGGGCATCAGAGTGTGCCCCCCTGCGTGGAAGTAGTGGCCATTCTTGCCCGCTCATTTTTCGCTCGGTGGCGCGTGGCACCTCTGCTTGCTACGGCGGAATTTCTTGCTATTTATCTGGCGGCTCTTTGCTCTGACAAACGAAGGAAGGGGCGGTAGGCGTGAGTTTCTTAGCGACAGAAGGATTTAAATGGCGTGGAAAAAAGTGCATAAAAAAAAACCCAAGCTGAGACTAAATTTTGATTTTTTTTGAAGTGAAATATTGGATACCTTAGAGATGGCCTTCTCTTTTTCTCTTAATATATTTTAGGAGTTGAAAATGTACTGATGTTTTGAGAACAAATTTAGGATACTCTCGGAGATGCTCAAGTCCTTCCGACTTTTGTTAGATATAATGCATATCTAGGCGTCCAACATGACTTGATTTTTGTTATATAAACCTTAATTTTTAACTTAAGTTGGATAGGAAGCTC